ATATATATACCTGGACCATCCAAGGGGTGCCCAATGGAAGCCTATAGGTAGTGTGGGGTAGTCCAGCCAGGACACCCGATGGTCCTGGTAGGTTATGAACAATTTCTGCAGGTACAGAGGCATGGTTTGCCGGTTTGTGGAGAAGACATGTTGCAGACTATCTTTTGAACTAGACAACAACTGGGAGTATGAATGAGCAAGGGGTTGGATCACTTGACATTGTGGCCTACTTGTACTGTAACTCCTGTTTGGTGCGGATGCCGGCCGCTCACGGTCCATGTTTCGACATCACGTCGTCACCAGGTCACGAGACCACCCTCGACCCACAGTTGTGGCGTGTGAAACACCCCCAGGTCACGGTGTGTCTGAAGGGTCGAAGCTGTGCTTTCGGTCCGGGCATGACTTTCAGATGGCACCCAGCACTTTTGCAACCGTCTGACTCGACCCCAAACGCCTGACTCGCGCAGCGTGTTGGTCACGAAGTTCAGCCGAATCGGCACGGCGCCCTCGAGCGAAACTGACATCGCCAAAGCCACAGATGAGATGCAGTGAACGTTTGGGGAGATGCTGTGACTACACGATTGGGGGAGCAGATCTTCCACCCATGTTTTATCAGGCTCTTTGGGAAACACCGAGCCACTTTGGAATCAGCCTTGGCAGGCAGAAACCCGGAGGCAAGGATCTAAAACTCATCACAGCATTCACCACGGAGCGAAGCAGAGAAGAAATAGGGCTTGGGTCGACCCGGCGTCCGCGTCCGGCCGCCAACCTCGTGCCGCTCGAGGCCTCCTGCACTTCTACCGCGCCAAGGAGGGCTATTTGCAGGGCCAGATTGGCAACCCTGAGGGCGAGGACCGGGCGGGTTGGGTGGAGGGCCCGGGGGGCCGGGCCACATCAGCGAATGGATCTGGCGCGGTGACGTGGCCTCAGCCAGCGGCCCGGTTGCGGAAAGCTGTGCCAAAGCAGGATGTGGCCAGCTCTCGGGCGGTTCAATCTCGAAGAAACGTGGCAAGTTGATGTCAGGCGATCCTGAGCTTTTGGTCTCACACCGTCGGTTTTCCCGCTTGCTGAAAACTGGATCACCTTTTCTGGCGGACCCCACTCAACAGGAAGAGGTAGCAAGTTCACCTTACACTGCCTTACACCTTCCTTTTCCAGACCCCAAACCAGGTTCCGTTCGCCTACTACATGTTGCTGCACCGTTCTTCTCTTCTCCACCCTTCGCCCACGAGGACAAGCCCAACAAGAGCTATTACGACCCCCGCAAGTGGATCCGCGAGTCGGAGACCTCCATGGCCACGCGGCAGAGAGACGGATGGAGGGAACGTATGCCCACAACTCACCAAGAAGCTCTCCTGGTGTCTATGGGCTGGAATTTGGGTAGTGTTCGTAGCAATTATAGGCCATATTGCGTTTGTACATGCACACCTCTATGTAGGAGGGTCGTCTGGTGGTCTACAACCTCCTAGTGATCACCATCATGGAGAGCAACACTGAGCATTGGAATAGGGTCTGTCGTTGCGGTCATGTGCTTTTCCTATCAAAAACGGGGGTCATGGGTATCAGTCTATGTATCAGTGAATTGGTTTCAGTCGGAAACGCTGGCATCTGTGAGAGGGGATAGGGAAGGTGACAGAATGGGCCCAAGAAGTGCTATAGTCTTTGAACAGTTTTGAACTACCCCTTGTGGGAAAAGCTACGAAACTCACATTGAACTTCTCAGCTATATGCTGAGTTGGAGAGAAGAATGGTCTGCCAGACATCCGTTGTTCAGTTCGAAGAACATGTACCATCCCAGAGACTTGGTTTTTCAGGCTAAGACGATGGGGTCTTCTGATGAGATGTCATGGGGTCTTCTGATTCACTGCCCAGAATGGTAGAACAGGTATTCACTACCCCCTCCTCCCAAAAGAGATGTGGATTTCTTAGATCCTGTCAGACGGTGGACCTCGACATCACCGATATTTCGGTGGACCGGCCAGCCCGCGTGGGGAACCACGATTTGTCTCGGTCCCGGTTGCCCGAGGTGAAGCGAGTCAAGGAGGCCTGTGCTGATCTCAACAATGCCTGGAGCCCCTGGATCTGACTTCCGGAGTGTGCCCGGAACAGTCTGACGTGATCCATCCTTGGTGTCAGCTAGTGACAGCAAAGCTGAGCTAGTTTGATCGCCCGCCCACTATAGGTTCCATCACAAATGGTTCCTTCACCTCCATCAGTGTCTTCACCAAACCCATCACCAACACCCCATGTCGGTCTTCACGTCGCGCCCCGTGCGACGGGTGACCGCCGGAATTGGACCTCCGCCAGGTTTGAAGACCTTCCAGCGTTGGGCTCTGAAGCACCGCGTTGGGCCCAGGTGCGCTTGCTCGGCACACCGTGAGAACCCGCTGGGAAGGAAGTCGCTGGTGGTTTAACACCGGCGGGAATGGAAGATGGGCGGGAAATGACACACGCGCGGTGAACACAGACTTCCAGAGGGGGCCGACGACAAGCAGTTCACCTGGGATGTATCCTATTTCGTTCGCATGATTCTCCGAGCGTGCCGAAAAGATGGCCACTGGTCTGTCCAATGGTGGGTGCCCAGGTGCTTCGTTTGATTCCGTTTTCTTTTTGGGTACGGCTCTAAAACCAACGTGGCATCTCCGCTGGAGCTCCTTTTAGGAGCTGTTTCAGGTCGTTTTTCTGGTCCGAAAGGAGGATGGAGAGCTTTGGGAGGCTTGGGAGCGCCAAAACTGCTCCCCAAAAACTCCAAAACAGCCCACTGATCGGCTGACATATGAGCAGGACACCTGCAACGTGAATGAGTCACAACGGGACAGCCAGCTGATTCGACAGCCCTTTTTAATGCCGAGAAGAGAGGTGTCATGGTAGATATAGTTCATGGTAGACGTGGCATTTTAGAACCTGAACATCTACATCTACTTGATTCAGTGGACATCCCCAATCTTTCCCTCAACTCCCGGAGTAAACTTCGCTCTTAGTCTCTTGTGTTCTCGTGTCCTGCATAGATGCTTCTGGGAATCATTTAGAGATGCTTCAGGGGTCATACCGGGGTGCTACGGATATTCGCATACAGTCCTTATGTTGTGATACAGTTTGATTCATTTGGTGGTCGTGTTTTCAAAGTCAACCTGTACCTGAGATGATGGATCCCCATGTCCCATCGCTTGTCCCATGGTGCACCAAGCCCTTCACTCAGCGACCTTGAAGTTCCTCAGTCTTCGTTTCCCACGTAAGATGCTGAGCAGGACTTGATCAGGTCAGGTCTGGAAAGCACACATGAACAACACAACTGGCACTGCACCTCTTAGCACTTTCGGGTTTTCTAGGGCTTTCTGGTGTTTTTCCTGGCTTGCCTCCAAAAAAGACGGTGTTTGCAGGTGCAGCCGGAGTGGAGTGAGTACTCGGTTTCGCCGGGTTTCACATGGTGGGGTGGGGCTAAAGTGTCGCCACTCCGCGGACGCGGGCGCCGGAAGAGAGGGCTCGGCTGACCGACGCGTTCAGGGACAAACGACCATATCTCGACCCACCTTTGCTCAAGCTGAGTGCACATCGCAAATGTGTAAAAGTTACTGCAACCCATCACATCCATTCGATGTGGAACAACTACCTGTGTGTGCATATTGAAAAGCGAGTGATTTCTTTGTTTTTGCAGAAAGCTTGGGGACACGTCATTCGCGTCCGATCAGTCAAGCCGATGTAGATCATCCAAGTGGCCGACACTGGCGCAGTTGAGTTAGCTTAGCTATTTTGGTGCCACCCCTGTGGCTCCAACTTTCCCCGAGAAGGTAGTTAGACTTCCCCACCTTCTGAGGATGTGATGCGAGACCTAGGGAAATGTGGCTATTGGCTGAGATAAGTCTCTTAGGCCTTGGGTCAGCCCTGCTATCTTTTCGATCGAAGACCCAGCTCGAGAATACCGAACAGTGTTCTCCGTTGTGCGCCACCAAGCAAAACATACCGGTCCATATCTAGTGTAGGGCAGGGTAGTCTATTGATGACCTGTTGGATGATCAATAGGTATATGTGCACACGGTATATGGTCTTGTTCCCTCAGAACTGTGATGCTTGCGTTCCCGCGGAATGGAAACACGTCCCCCAAAGCAATTTAGCATAGGTCTCTGACATGGAACTTGAGTTTTGACCGACAAAACAGATGATATTTTCCCCGTAAACGTCCTCTTGGGGACCCCTGCCACCAAAAATGATACCCCAAGTGGCCTTGGATAGATTGCAAGTGCATGCAAGCACCAGTTTTATCATGTTTTGCGGTATCTGCAAATCCATTCGACCGCAACGACCATGCACACGCCCCAAAAAACATCAATCCCAAGGGATCAGATCCTCTTTGCGCCAGAAGATTCGCGTACCGGAGCTTTGGACTGCTTGGGTGTGCCGTACTTCAAATCCTCGAACTGTTGGTGAGTGAAAAAGATGTGCCTGCTGAGTTGCCGCCAAGGTTTGTCCAGTTGATGAGACAAATCTTCTGGCTGATGGTCTTGGGCTCCCTGAAGCAACCCACCGCAGACCTCAAACTGGTCGATCCGACTCATCGACCTAGGAAGACAGGTGCAGGTACCCGCTCAGTCACTGGTCGAGGGTTCTGAACCACTCACCTACCCAGTTTTTGTGAGTTTTGTGCAGGCATAGGCTTAAAGACCCCACAGGGCAGCAGGTGGTCTTTCCTTCAAAGGCTTTAGGCTTGGTCGTTGACCCATCGGCGCCGCGAAAAAACGGTCAGCTGGCTGCGCGTTCACCCGGAGGGATCCGGGAGAGCGTGTAGTCTGATTAAGACCTCCTCACCCAGCATTTGGAGGGTGTTCGACCTACCTTTGCATGGAAGTTGGGATTCAGAATCAACCGTCCAGACTGGACGGGTGTTTTCCTCTTGGCCACTCCGACCCCATGCTCACCCCCGCCCTTCTTGCTGTGTCGAAACAAACACCCAGGTGTCGAAGTGTCGAACACTCAGCTTGCTCTCGCTCCGTGCGGAGTTTGAGGTGCTACATGACTTTGACGGGAGCAATTCATCTGAACTATGGAGGTGCTTGGACGCGGCGCGGCTCTTCCGGGCCGCGTCCGGTGCGGTGCTTCACCTTCCTGGCTTTGGCGGAGTGCTGGGGCGTCTCGTGAGGTTGTGACACTCCGACTGGCGACCTTGGACCATTTCGGGTCCATGTAGGTCTTCCATACATGAAGTGTCTCAGTGAGAAGGACTCTTTGAACCTTTCCATCCATAACTCGGGGTCACTGACCCCGCACTACTGGGCTTGGCTCCAGCTCTCTGTTCGTCTCCGGTTGCAGGTGGCACAGCTGGCAAGGTAGACCTGGATCTTCCAACAATGCAGAACTTTCACAACTTTTGGGTTTACTGATGGAAGATCCAGGTATACCATAGTATACCAAACAGCAAAACCGGCCTTGGTTGGTTTGTTTCTTATACACATGTTCGCCTTTTGGTTGGCTTTACTGATGAAGAAGCAGACATGTTGCATAGTTGGAAGATCCAGGTATACAAACACTTTTTCCAGGCCTTTGTACCCCTTTTGTCGTCACGCACACAGAGTCTCCAGAGAAAAGCCAACCGTATCCCCCCTCGTTTGGCCACGGACGCAAGACTGGGCGCCACCAAAAGGAGGATGGAACGGATCCGTGGATCTCCTGTCTTCGAATGCGTGTTCATCACAGGTGCCCCTGCCGGGCCTGCTGGAACAGGGAAGACTGAAACGACGAAGGCCTGAAGTGGGGGAACGACAGGGGAAGGACGGCGGTCATTGGGTGAGTTCTAAGGTTGTTTCGGACGTCGATGATCCATCCAAACGGTGTTAGGCGTGTTTTGTGCCATCGAAAGACATGATGATGGTTTGATTCAGGGCTTCCGCGGGGTTTTGTGAGTGCAGCGGAATGTTCCTCGAGTTCCAGCTTGCAGAGCTCCTAGTCAAAGGTGCTAGATCGTGCTGATCCAGCTCATTTGTTTGTGTCAAGGGATGATGAAACAAAGGTCAGAAGCTGTGCTCAACGGTCGTTGCTCTGGCGTCCGGCAGAGGATTTGGGGAAGGCCCTGGCGGTGCCGGTGATTGTCTTCAATTGCTCAGATGGCGCTGTTCGCAGATGACGGGGGTGGTGGGCGCCCGTGTGGTGGGCTGGCAGTTTCCACCACCATGTGTCGCACACATAGGAGAACGACCCTACCAGCTCCTGAAAGGAAAACATGGGTCCTGTACTATAGAGATGCTTTTCAGAGGCACCTCCACCGGGCACCCACACTCCAAACAACTTCACGTTCACCGGCACGGCTGTGACTAGGTTGAATGCACCCCACAACTGACTGGAGCTTAGGAAGGAATGAGGTAAGGCTTCCTCCTACTGCATTCCCTTCTCCTGGTCCTCTACGATCTCATCGGCAGTGTTCCATGTTGGCTCGTTGGAGAAAAGGCTGCCCAGGTTTTTGAACCAGTAGACTATTGTGCGCATGATGGATCTCACAGAAGAATTCACCTAAGCCTCTGGCTTCACCACTGGTCGTTTGTGCGTGTTTTGCCGGCAAAGATTTTGTTCCATTGAAATTGGAGGAAACAATCTCTGCAGTACTTCACTAGGTCATATGTGTTGAGTTTAGTCCATCACCAAGATGTGTTTCACCTGAACCAATTTGCATGGTCCCACCTCTTCCGGTATTGTATGAGTTTCACCTCCCACTGCTTCTTCCCCAGTCTGGGGGGTTGAATCCACGCTGGAGTTCCAAGGCCTGGATTACAAGATCATGGGCCGCTTCTTCAGTGGCCTCGCCCAGGCGATGCCCCGAACCTCGGAACCTCGGGCGGGGTGGAGGTGCAGGTGGCAAAAGGCTAAGGCTTTTGGTGGGTGGTGTCTCTTTTGAAGGGGTGGGAGTTGCAGCAGAGGACGGTGTGTGGAAACGCAGCATGAAGCATCAACCCGAGGCTTCGCTTCTCCAGAGTCAAGAAATTGGCTTCTCAGGAAGGAACCAGCTACAACAGGGGTGTTTCATCACGTGTAGCGCAACACACCTGAACATTTGTGAATCTTTCCGACACAAAAAGACGCACCTGGAGGCATCCCTCATGAGTCAGACCGTTCCATGTTGCGGGTGCAACACGAAAGACGGACAGGCTAGGCGGCCCAGTGTTTCGCTCACCCCTGCAGTTTTTGGGGATGAGCTAGGATGAGCTAGGGGATGGACGGTTCAGAGCACAAGCACCTGGGATCATCACGCCAATCCTTTGGGTCACGGGGCCGTCGCTTGGCCCTTCGGCCCGGTCGTTGTTTCAGTCGTTTCGTGGTCCCGAAAGGCGGGTGCATGGGCCTGCTTCGATGAGTTCAACCGGATTCAAGTGGAAGTCCTGAGCGTTTGGGCTTGCCCAGCTGATGCGTTGGTGTAGTTAGCGGAGTGTCTATTGGTTGTCATTCTTGTTTGGTTGATGTTTGAGGTGCTCACTCCAGCCATGCGATGGCGTAACGTCTTTCCCCTCGTCGTAGATCTTGAGTTTCGGTCCAGAATTCTCACACCTAAGAATCCGGGCCCCCTAAGGTCCGGTGTCGGGTCCGACCCCTGCGAAGGTGTCGGGTGGGATTCTGAGGGAAAGCACCTATGGGTCGCATTGTGATTGGAATACCATGGGGAATCTACCGATCGCCTAGAGGACGGAGGGATGCCTTAAGGGATCCCTTTTGTTCGGGAGCTCTTTTTGAGTTCATGAAGAAGTGGACACGGTGAAGGAGTAGAAGTGGAAAAGTGCTGGACCTCTGGCCTTAAGGGCTCTACACTCCTACACCTGGTGAGATGATAGTGGAAGGGGAAAAAGACCCCTTGAATTCTTGAATGACCATTTTCCCCGTTCAAACAGTGGTTTTCCACTTCCATGCTTCGCGTCGCTTTTTCACCAGCTCAGGTCATTGCTCAACAGATGCTCACTGTGACACATGCCATCCGTGCACGGAAGGACGCGATGGGGCGGTTTGGGTGGGTGGAAGGAGGCGACCCGACTGCGACACCTACCGACGGCGTCGGAGCGAAAGACCGGTGTTTTCGGGTGGATGGAAGGGCCAGCGGAATCCGGGAGAAGAAGCTGAAAAGGATGCCAAGAAAACTGACTGGTGCTTAGCAGGGAATGAGGGAATGGATCCAATAGAATCTCTATTGGGGGCTCATTCCCTTATTCCCTACTAAGGACCAGTCAGAAAAAGATCCATTAAGATCCTCAAGATACATGGTGTGGCAAACCCCTCTAGCCTCTGCTGCAGAGCTGCTCGCATGGGCTCTGAAACATGATTTTAACATGCGAAGACCACATGTTTTCGAAGACGATCCAGTGGTTTTGAGAGTCCATGGTCAATCTGCAGGAAGGGTCACGATTCTTGTGCCACCCTCAAGATCCCACAAACGGTACCCTCATGAAGGAATAAACTGAAAAGGGTGCAAGAATCCGACTGGTGTGTACCTTCAAACACGCTGTGTTTTGATAGGCTTCTTCTCTGTTTTCAGGAAAACCACCCTGTGGGTCCGGCTCGCTTTGTCAGCTGGTGGGTTGGCGGGTTGGATCATGGGATCGGCAAGCGGTACAGGTCTAGGCCTCTTTTGGGAGGCCTGGTTCAGAATCCAAGTGCCACCAACCTACAAGGTCCCACTCGCTGAGGGGACCGAACTTCAGAAGTTTCTTCCAGAAGCGATCCAAAAGATCCTTCCCATCCCAGCAACACCGAACCTGCCAAAACCAACGAGGGTGTGTAAGTCTTCTATCGCCACGGTGCACGAGGAGACGTTTGAGTTTGTGGGGAAGGAGATCCCACTGAACCCACGCTTCGGGGCTGGGGCCCTGTGGGCTGTGGACCGTTGTCAAGCCCTAGAGCTACCAGCTCTAGCAAATTCTTACCCATAAATCCAACAATTGCCACTAAAGAAAGATGCTAAAAGAATCCTAGAAGGACTCTGAAACACCCCAGATTTCCCTACTCAATTGATTGCCAAAAAGATTCCAGCTTCATCCAGCTTCAGTGTTTGTGTCCAGTGCTTTCTCTCTTCCTTCGAAGCTTCCGTGCTCCCTGCCTTGACCAGCCTGGACGGCCCATCTTCCGAGGTCTTCATCACCATGAACCCCGGCTACGCCGGGCGCGCGGAGCTGCCGGACCGGCTTCAAAGACGTGGGCGACCGGAGAAAGTGCTTAGGCAGTGCAAGCTGAATGAGGAAAGAACCTGCAAGCTGAAACAAACAAACAACTCAATCTTTACATTGTTTGAACTTATCACCCATCTTGTAAGTTGGTAGGAAATTGGTTGGAAAGGCAGAAAACGACCTGAGAAGGGACCACCACCAGCGGATGAAAATCGGGGGGGTTCTGAAGGTTCGCTGTGGTGCCGAAAGTCCTTCCATCCTTCAGCATCCAAAATTCGGATCCTTCAGCATCACCGGAATCTGCGCAGTTTACTGTTCTCTTTCGGATCCTCCTCGTCCTCGTGCTGAGACCTTCCTTGCGGCAGACCGTCCTCAAAGGTGAGTGACCCACGCTGTTTGGATGTCCTGTCTGGGAGAATGCAGTGTTGGGTAGTCCATATTGGACACCCAGACAGGTCCTGAGGTTTGATTTTTTTGTGTTGTCGGAGTTTTCTGATCTGTGCTGTCACCCACCAATTCCCGCCTTGATCCGGAAAGACAACAGGGCCGAGCACTTCGTTTTGGTCCCTTGACATTGAGTCCGCCAAGATGGAACTAGGGACTGAAACCTCCCCAAATCCGCCGTTTCTCCGTCCAAACGAACCCCTTCACCCGTGCGGAACCCGTTCGGAAGACCTCGCGGTGGCGATCGGGGCCTTTTCTCCATCCACGCTGCGGAGCTCCGCAGGACAACTTGAAATCTCTGTTCCGACCGGTGGCAATGATGGCCCGGATCCATGGCGAATCCATGGCGCCACCCGATCAAGTTCCGTTAGACTCGCTGACTCGTGCGAGTGCGGATCCACGTGCAAGTCTCGGGCGACATGATCGGGCGGAAAAGGCGCCGTGGGTTGAGAAAGCAACATGGGCTACAAAGAGGGCAACCAAATGTTTGAATGGTGGGAGTAGTATTGGAGGAAGGGACCACACATTCGTGTGTTTCGCTGAGAAAATGAGACTCAGCAGCTTAAGCTGTTTCAGACCGAGGCACGAACCAAGAATGCCTCGGAAGACGACCTAGTCTCAAGTCCTGGGCCGTAATCAATCGCTTTGACGCCACCTTCGCCGTGTTGGACGAAGACATGGGGGCTTTTGGGAGCGGCCGAAGCACAGGTCGGCCGCCACTGCGGTCGGCGCCCCCAAGGGTCGCACCACGGCGTCAGCAACTTCGACCCCGTCGAGGGAGAAAGATCCCAAATAGTCCGCCCTGGAGATCGATCGAATCCAGAGCAGACGGAGCCCGACCCTTCGACACCGGTCAACCCGGTGGCCTTGCCCACTTCGACGCCGCAGAGGTCCCAGACTACTGCCTCATTGCGGAGATCATCCTCTACTCGGAGGACCGTGTGGCAGCGTGTCGCAGCGGAGCGTGTCGCAGTGGAGCTCCGCAGTGGTTCTGTTTCGTGGCAGTCAGTTTTCTGTTTTTTTTGTTTTGTCTTGAAGCCGAGGTAGGCGTTGACCAAAAGCAGAAGTGATACCAAGACCATCCAAGACCTAAGTGACCCAACCATGCAAGAAGATCCGCTCAAAGGCTCATTTGATGATATGTTCATTGATGTGTTCTTTCGACATCTTTTGGATAGATATGCCCCCTCGTAAGATGGGCAGGTGCCTGAAAAACCCAGAGGCATGTGGCCATCTTTGCAGGAATTCTTCACAGTGGCATGTGGAGAGTCAACGATGAACCTACGCCCCCTTCCACCCTCATCTACACTTCCCTCTGCTGTTTGGGTCAAAGGAGTGGTTCATAGGCACACGAACCCGAACACGGAACCCATGGACCCTCGGGTTTTGGCACCGTGAAAGACGGTCTTCCGCCAAATCAGTAGCTTTTTCAGGGTCCGGTTTTTGAGCGTTGTACATGTTAGTCTGAAGTCTACTGCATCCCTTCCGTTCCACTTCATCCACGGCTCCAGGGCTTTGGTCGAGCCACGGCTCTGGCGCGGAAGATGGTGAACCTGTGCGCCGCCGAAGAGGGCTCTTCCGTTTGCGGTGCGCGAAATGACCATTTGAGGGAAAAGGCTGTGGTCATTCCATCATGAAAGCCATGGATTTTTCATTGGTCTTTGGGCTTCGTTGGATTAATTGCTTGTTCGTGGATAGCTCGGATTCTGGCGGGGTGAAGCCACTGACGCGACTGATAGCTCGGATTCTGGAGACGAAGGGTGTACCTCAAATTTCTCCCAGTTGAGCGTTGAAACATATGGAAACCACCACACACACCAAAAGAAGTCACTTTTCTCCTTGAGCAACGTCCTAAGACTTGGGCATACTGAAACCAATTTTTGTTCAGAAGTCTTTTCCCAATCATCTGATGGGCTCCCAACTCATCCATCCTCTCCCCAACTCGTCGAGATCTCGTGGTGATAGAGATTTCAGAGATGATTCCAAGGAGGTGATAGAGGGGTTGTCCATGTAGGTCAGCATCCAGTTTTCACAAGGTTTGGTTGGCACCTGGATCCTCCAAGCTACCCTTTTGGCTTTAAAGAGATGCCACGATTCGGTGCGTCCGGCCTGTGTTGGGGTCCGAGAGGCGCCATGTGTTTCACCTTCTGTTGGAAGGTCCGTGTACCCAATCCGTGAGGTGCCTGAGTCAGGCACAGTGCCTGTTGGGACGTTCTTTTGGTTGTGTGGGGTTAGTGTCATTGTTGCGTGGTCCTGGACGATCAAAGATGCCCACATCCCGATGATCAACGTGGAGCTCAAATACATATTTAGATGCCATGGGCCATGCGATTCGTTTACCTTATGTATATATATATATAATATAATATATTATAGACTACAGATATACCAGAGCCCCTCAAGGATTATGTTCAATAGAATTCTGCCGTTTCCAAGTATAGATATTCGGTATATCGATCTACAAGAATCTCTCACCTGCTGTTTCAGGTACAGCCTCTCCAGTGAGCAGCTGTCCAAACAGGAGAAATCGCACCGTGGGAATATTCGTGATGTTCATGTCCCCAGTGTTACTTAAGAATGCTTATTTTTATGATGTTATATGTGTGTTTTCAGTTTTTATGCTCGAATCCTTGGTTTCCGCACATTTCAGGAGAACGTGCATGTAAAGGAACACAAAAGTGTAAATATGTGGCCTTTCTGAACAAGATCTGCAACCCAGCTCGTTTGGTTCATTGGAGCATTCCAAAAAGCACCGAAAGGTCAACTTCTTTGAAAGCAAACATTGCTGAGTCCGTGGAACATAATCTACAAGGCCTGGCGAAAACGACCCATGTGCCTTGAACCCCTCCAAGGCTGCAAAAGCCTTGAGAATTGAGAATGCTCTTCTGTACACTCGATGGTAAACCGTCAAAGCCTCACCAAACCCCTCTGAAAGCTGACTGAACTCGTTCCAAAAAGAGTGCTCGTTTTTTATGCCCTGGGACCAAAAACGGCTTGCTTCCCACAAATGCGCACGATTTCCAAGTTGGTGCACGAACAAAGATATATATATATATATAATATAAGGTAGCAAACCACAAAGTGGACACATTAATGTGCAACAATGGGGCGTCAAGGTATAACAATAACCTGACGGGAAATTTGGAGGTCTAGGATCCATTTGATTGCTTCATGTTCCAAGTAAGCGGGCAGCAGGATGGCAGGAGGGACCAATCGATTGTGATCAGACATATCCACATACAACCATGTTTGAAAGGAGTGAACAGCATTTGGAAGGCTGCAATGGTGCCAAATGTAAGGACAGTGCAGGTATATGGATTGAAATGGATTGAATCAACACCTTGCACACCTCCATATACTGTAGGAGTCCAGTGCCCCATGATCTCATATCCAAAGCAACCCGAGACCAGGACCACTACGACTTCGGCATGCGAGCAGTGAAGTCAGTTCTGGTCATGGCCGGGCAGCTGAAGCGGAAGTACCCCACCCTGGTGGAGGAGCCGAGTCTTTCACCGTCGACCCGAAGATCGGTCGTGACGGTGTTGCGGCGTTGGAAGAACAGTCTATAGATGTCTCTAGAGAGATTCCGAAGAACATGAGGGAAGGCATGAGATGTCTCTTGGTGCCGGTCACCAACTACGAAGTAGTCGTAGTCTTCAAAGGCAGACCGAGACCGGACCGTCGACCCGCCTGGATGAGGTAGGTATCACCAAGCACTCAACTGCTTGCCGACATCACCCCCAACCGGTCACCAGGAGGTTAATACGTCAGCGGACCCGGCGAACGCCCCCCCCAAAAGATGGACATTCCGAAAGCACGGAGCGACACCGAAGGACGGAGTCATCGGCACGGAAACAACACCCGCCAAGCATGCCATCACCTCCCAAAAATCCTAAATCCCAACATGATCTTGCGGAGGGAATTCAATTCTTATGCAACACCTCCATTTTCATCCATGTTCTACAGACCCTTAACAGCAGGGCGGGGTGGGGCAAGCAGGGCGGGGATGGCAGGACGTCACGCTGATCCGAGCTTTGAGGGACTCCAATGCCCGGGACGTCCCAGCCGACGCGACGCGACCGCGGCGACCGCGTCTCCCGGGGGTCGACTGGGGCGACTCGTTTCGGAAGATATCTGAAACACTTGTTCCTTTGGGGCAAAGTTTGTTCCTCATTCCATCTTATTCCCCGCGAAGTCGCACCAGTCATTTGTTTTTTTTGAGGCTTTGCGGGCAGGTGTTCGTCCTTTCCAAACTAAGGATTGGACCATCTTTGGTCAGAGTAGAGAAGTGGACAAGGTCCATTTTTGCTTTCTGTCAGCCTCACCGTCTCACTACACTTGTAATTATCCTTCTTGTACCCGCTCTTAGCCTGGAGGCTATCGCTAGTAGGTTGGAGGCCATCCCTATTAGGTTGGAGGCCATTGCTAGTAGTTTGGAGGCCATCCCTATTAGGTTGGAGGCCATTGCTAGTAGTTTGGAGGCCATTGCTATTAGGTTGGAGGCCATTGCTATTTTTATCCGGGAAGCTCTGGAGAAGGCGGTCAGGTCGCAGGTCGCAGGTCGGTCTCGGTCTCGACGCTCGAAGGGCGCTCCCGATGTGTTGACGCCCAGCCGTTTGTGACCGAACATCCAGCGCAAAAATAGTGAGGTCTTTAATTCAAGCCCAAATACCTAGCAGTTGATGGCATGACCGGCACCCTGGGCTTAACACCAACCTTTGCCTGACAGATTCGCACTTTTGGGACTCACCCGGAGCGGCCGTTGCAGGTGCCGAAGTTCCTCTCGTTTGACTTGCCGCTCTTCTTCGGGATCATCAGCAACGAGACCGCAGAGCACTGGGTTTTGGGGTGGTCCGTGGTCCCAAAAAGCGGTTATTGGATGTTATTGGGGTTGGAGAGAAGCAACTTGAACCGCAACTCGAAGAGTTGGGTACTACTCTTTTCATCTCTTTTCGTCTCTGTCCAGAGGTTATTAGGCGGTTCCGAAGGAGTGGTGGATCATCCTCAGTATATCGTTTCACGCTGCCACTTATCTGGTTTGCCTTCTGGACATACACAATCCATTCTGCATTTCTTCCTCTCACCTGACCTTTAAACAAGCAGGGTTTTGGGCTTTTCTAGGGTACCAACGCCTTCTATGGAGGGTTCGACCCCTGCTATGAAGGGTCCAAGGGTTTTTAGGGTAGTGGATTTTGGGCGCACTTTTTCGGTTGGTTTAGAGTGTGAGTATGTTGCTCTGAGGAGTCCCATTTGGAACAACAAGGTGTTGACTCTTGCTTCACATCCTCCACGATCGATGTTTTTTTTGCAAGTCCTGGTTCTGAATCTTTGAAGTCATTTTGTGGCTTGTCTCTTCTCTGGTGGTTGACTCTGCTTGCAGATCAAGTTTCCAAAGAGAAACTGTAGCACAGGCTTCCAACTTACAAGGCGCCAGCCACTTCTAAACAAGAGAAGAAGCCCAGTACTGCCAAGACTCATGGTTTGCCCCCGAGGCACTTTTGAGGGGCAGCAATTTTGCTGTAAATATCACTCCAAAGGGGCTTTAGGCTATAGGCCTTTGAATTCATTGTTTCTTGCGATTCGATGACAAGATAATATAACATGAGGAGAGTTTCACTTTAAATGTTTACGTTGACATATGATCAAGTTCTCAGCAATTCCATGCGAATAAGGGTGCAAATCCAAAACCCTTAAACCAAACATCCTTAGTTGATTGGTGGGGAGGGTGAGCCATGCGTCCTTGACTAACACTACAATTACTACATACAGTGCACTATCACAAAAAAAATACTGCATACCTCGCGACATGTAACCATGGCACTTTTCTTTTAGCGAACACCGCTTGATGTGCGCCCAACGTGGCGCCACTCGTCGCACGGCACCTCGGGACGTCCTCCGCCTCTTCGTCGCATGGCCGGCAGCTCGGGCGAGCTTTGGGCACGTTATGGCCCCAGCCCATGGAAGCAGCGGGTGCTGGATCGACTGCTCGCAGCGGTGCTGAACTACCTGGACTTCATCACGGATGTTCCTCCGTTCGGATGTCGTGGGCGGGACTCAACAAATCCTCCGTGAGGGGGACAGAGGACATGGGCGAGCTAACTGTCCAACATGGACATGTTGGGTGAGGATGGGTGAGGTGTTTTTTTGTCGTGTTGCGGCGACAGCAGCAGGTTTTTCCATACTGTTTTTTACAACATGGGAGATATTTGACCATTTATCCTTTTAGTCAGGGATAGTCATGGATGTCCCGGGTGAAAAACCGCAGTCCGCTTTCTTTGAGCCCTACAACGGTGGCTCTTGGGAGTCGTCTACAGTTGTTCGATCATGTTCGGTCCTGGTGTATTGAGCTTTCAAGGTGCTGGTGTTGCTTGAATATGGCTGCTACAGCACACTGCAAGCCACCTGCGACCACATCCCGAACTGGACGGAGACGAATGCGAGCACGCTTGACACATACAAGGTTTGTGAACCTCACTGGTGGTGGTTTGGCATCTCCCTCACCATCCTGGTTGTCTCCACATGCCTTCAAGCCTTTTTGTACGCGCTCGATAAGTTAAACAAGAGTTGTTGTGCTGGCTGTGGAGTGTTCCTTTGCGGCTTGCTACAGCTGAGCTACGCCCGCGATCTTTGCAAAGCCATCATGTGTTCCCATGATAAAACAGAGGATGACGCGATTCTCCGAAGAGACATTTTTGTGAAAGTCTTTGAATGTGCACCCCAGCTCTACTTACAGAGTTACATCCTCTTCGCCATACAAGCCCATGGAGATCCGCTGAAGGTCTTCTCTACTGTCATCTCAGCCTCGTCAATGGCACATGGCATAACTCGGTTCTTCTCTACTGTTACAGTTGCTACACTCAAACTGCGATTCCACCAGAAGCTGGCGATTGGTTCCTGGGTCTGTTCTAGCTTTTGACGATTTGGTATGTTTTTGTTAATTTGTATGTGATTTGGCCTATCCCTGATAGGGAGTCCCGTTCGCATCGCACGCTCGCTTTGGGATGGTTGTTATTTTTAAACTCTAATCTTTAAACTCTACCAGGACCTTCCAGATGTCTAAAAATCGCCTCTAGGGTTCTCCAAACACCTGTTGGAAGGTCCTGGATTGTCCGGGTATATCAAGTTCGCTGCCAGGGGTCACAAGACGGGGTGGTGTTTAGTCCCCAAGTGAGTGGATAATGGGCACCCCAAAATTCCATGGATAGCACCCCGCTTGTGATCCCTGGTGGGCTGTCCTATTTTTGTTTTGGTTTTGGTGTGACTCAGCCAGGTTTGTTTCTGGCCACAGACCAGCTACTCCGCGCCTCCGGCTATGCCTTGGTCTTGTCTCCGGCCGCTCGACCCATCGGGGTTCCGATGATGCTCGTGTTTGGGGTGCTGTCCTGGGGACTGATCCACAAAGCATACGGGACTGGAGGAGGAGTTGCAACGCTGGTTTTCACGCTGTTTATTGCGGTGGTGGGGGGACACGTAGTGCCCATCTTTCCTTTGAATGCTCTCATAGACACCACCATGAAGACAGCCTTGAAGGGCTCTGAATGTTGGAAGCAGCTGTACCTACGTTGGGCTCTGGCACCGCGTTTCCTGGAGATGGTGCTTTGTGGTATCATTGGCTGGACGGTGGCCAAAACGGCCTGTGGATCGACTCCTACAGTCGAAGTGGGCTCGTTCTTTGGTCTACTCGCTGTGAACTTCATGTTTCTCCTGGTCATGCTATGGTGCATGAACGACTGTCACCCAGTCGAGCTCAATCATTCAGAGTCGCCAGTGCCCTTGGGCAATGCGCAAGTCCATCCAGAAGAACCGCCGTAAAGGGGGGCGGTCACTGGCAGACGCCTTTGTCGCCTGCGAGGGCCTCCCCCCTCGGGGGCCTCCGGCCCTTCGAAGGTCATCGGATCACAAAAGGGCTCAAAGATGCTCTTTGGCCTTTTTCAGCATCTCAAAGATGCTCACACGAAGCATCACGAAGCTGACTCAGCACTGGCCGCAGAGACTGAAAGGGTTGAAAACACCAGCGGAGGGTTGCGCGAGGAATGGCGAGTTTCGGATCAGGACGACAGTTTTCGTGTGTTCATGTCTTACAAAGAAAGGAGGGGGGGATGAACGGTTTGAGATTCTTCTCAACCAGAGCTTCATCTGAAATACTTGGAGGACCTATTCCAGCATTTGGGGATTGACCAGGCTGTCTGGAAGCTCTGGAAGTGGTTGCGGCCACGAATCTCCCAGGTCTCATTCCACGATCGCTTTCTGTTGCGGTGCTAGTGACCAGGAGTGTAGGGAACCTGTACGTGAATGCTAGTTTGAAGGTGTTTGAAGTTGCAGAAAATACTACGTATAGCTTGAAGATGTTTGAAGTCAGCCTCTACCAGTACTAGAGCCCAACAAAGACATACTCGGCACAGGGGGCTCTCAAGCCCTTTTCCCAAGATGAGCAGCTTACAAGAACTTCACTCGCCGACCTGTCGCTATGCTCTTCCAATCGACAGGGGGTCGAGACACCGCCTCTGAGGTGACCTCTATCCGGACGCAGATGTCCCCTACGTCCGGGCACCGAGCTATCCGGGGCGACGTGGTGAGCCAGCATGACCTGTGCACACCGCACACATGGCGTCTCCACTCGTGCAAAAAAAATCTTGTTACAAACGTAGTAAGAATGCTCCGTTCGTTTATTCGGCCGTTGGAGCCCCGTTCGGAGCGTCCCTTGCTCCGTTCGAGTCGCGATGCCAGGAGCCCCGTTCGTAGCGAACATGGTTCCTAGTGGTTTCAAACAGGAGAAGTACAGACCACTGTATGTTCTTTTCACTTGTGGTTTCCAACTCATTCTCGCACTCACACTGACTGAGACTCAAGGCATTGTCTCTGAAAATGCTTTCCCAGGAGAGTTCACTTGTTTCAATAAAATTGATTCTCAGTCGCAGCGCAGTGGTTGCTTCGTGCGAGGTGGATTATGGACGGCTCCAAAAGGAAATCGAGAACCAGCTGAAATTGGCAAAGTTGGAGGTGGGCCAAGGAACGCAAGGAAGTTCCCTCCAAGAAATGCAGGAAAGAACATCCCGGCCATATTCTTTTGGCGGATCAAGATCAAGTATATGGCATGATGTATTGTACCACTAAGTCGGGTGTGTTTTCTTCCCACCGGCTGGTAGGAGATGGTAGGTCTAGTTGGTTTTTTTGGGAAGGTGTCTTCATCAGTCTTCAGTCTTCAATTTTTCGACCTCGACCGCACGAAGAGGCGGAACAAGGTGACACGTTGGGATGGACCTGAACCGGCGGCCCAAGCACTTCCAGCGGCCCAAGCAGCAGATGTGGGAGCATGGAGGTGTTTTTCCTTTGTGATGGAACTAGGGTGAGATCACTGGCCCACACATGCGCACACCAGGTTTCAGGTATACAAAAGCCATGGCTTTCAGAAAGGGTCCCTGGCTGCGGCTTCTGGGCTTAGGGTGCCCTTGTTCTCAAAAGCAGGGAGTCCTCAGCCGCCTAAAAACCGCCTCGGCTCCGCTCTCTTCGCCCGAATCGATTTCACCCTTTGGAGCCCCTTCAGGTTTGCTCCAAAGAGTGACAGTACTCGGACCCAGAGTGTTCCTTGGTCCGTTCGTCGTGTTTTGGTATGAACTCCGGACCTTTGACCGTCGGAAGCCAGATGTTCTGAACAACTCCTGCCAAGTCATCCTGCCCCCAGCCTCTTTCACTTTGGCCTCTACCGGCCTCTCAATCACTCGTCCTCCCCACGTAGTCCTTCCCATCCCTCGTCCGTGATACGTATAGTCTACTTGCTACTCTGCTACTCCTCCGCAGGTGGTGCCCTCCTTCGTGGGGAAGATCATCCAACTCTTGGAGACGCAACTGGTGCGGCACGGCGTCATGGCGCGGACGCCCCGGGAGCGCATCGGCGTTCGAACGGAACGGGGCGAGGCGAGAGCGGAGCGGCGTCCGTTTTCGCAGACTTCCCATGAAGAGAAGCGTTGCAAAAAATGGAAGAGGCACCAAGAGAGGTCTCCTGTGAATGCGTGATGAAATGAGGTTGGAGGACCAAACATGGTGTTTTTTCCGATCCCCCGGGACTGTTGTGGCTTTGAACTGATTCAGTTGATTGCGCTTCCATAAACTGGAAGAAGTTCGGAAGAAGTACTAGAGGATTTCACAACACATTTTCTTGGAGGCCTCGACCATCTGAGGCATCCCGGGGCCGCAACACTCGATCAAAATACCCCGGAATCGCGCGGAATCGATTCCACGCGATGCTTCGCATCTCTGCGTGCCTCCCAGGTGGTGGGGAACTCCTTCATCGGCAAGTCCACGAAGATCCAGATCTTGGCCAAGGCCTTGTCGAAGCTGCGCCAGGACCGGGTTGAACCCCGCGGGTGACCCGAAGCCGCGGGCTCCGTTTTCGGTCGTTCTCGGTCTCCCACCGGGGCCGGACAGAGTGATGTCCGCGGTCTGTTCTCGGTGTCCGATCGGGGAAGCGCTTGGGATTGGGTGACGGGGTCCGTGTGGCGGAAGTAGCGAACGAGAGGACAGGTATATCTCTTTGGGGTGTCCAGAATGACAACTCCTTGTAATCATCGTAAATCCTGGTATGTACAAGTCACCGAAAAGCAAGGCGCCGGCGGCTTACATCCCTCTCTTTTGCTCAATTGCCGCATTCCCCCAGGCCGAGAATCCTACCGGGTCAACGGGTCCGGAAATTGAATGGCTGAACGGATGACATCGGATATCGGATAGGTGTTTTCTTGCCATCGATACGGAGTAGGTGTGCCCAGGTCCCGGTTCCGGGAAGTCTTGTCGTCCCCGCGCTTCCGGGAGCCGGGAGCAGACGCGACCGTTGCCATCGCCCCACAGCTGAGGGACTGTCGGTCGACAGTCCATGTCGACCTCTTCCGACCTCTTCCGACCCAAAACGACCCACCGCAGCAGTCCGACACATGGCAGCCACTCCCAGAGTCGTCAGGAGGACCTCTCTCTGGGTCCGACCGACCGGACCTGGTCGTATCTGCTTTTGGATCAGCGTAGAACAGTGAAGAAACAGACTCCCCACATAAACAGGGTGAAACAGCACAAAGACTTCGGCTGTTGGATCTGTCGGATCTGTCGGGGAGTGTTTTGCCCGACCACAAAGCGAGAGGATTTCCAGGACCCCAAAGCGACTCATATCTTCACTCCCACGCAGATGTTTGGCAGAGATGAAGCGCTTCAGACATGATTTGTGATGTGACATTAGGGATCTGAAGGCAGATGAACACACCTCAAACCCCTTAGCTGCTAATTCCCTCTCAGAAGAACAAAGTACATCCAGCATATGGTTTGTTTAGCTCACTGTTCACCATCCACCGCGAACGCGCATGAAATGGGATGGATCCGGCTCAGGCGCGAGACGGAACGACGAAACAACCGCGTGACGCTTGTGACGAGAGTCTCGTGGGATTCTGGGAACACTGCAGTGGCCTGGATTTCTATGCATTAAAAGCATCTTTTTGCATTATTTGGTTGTGTCTTGTGCAAGCTCCTTGGGCCTGTCTCAAAATGGACACACTACTGTTCGAGGATCAAGTCCTGTACTCCTAGCAGATTTTTGGGCTTTGCATGTGCTGCAAGGAAAAAGCTGCTCCCTGCTTAGCTCAGCTAGACTCTAGACATATCTAACATACATCAAGCCTGTCGAAGCCAAACGCGTCGCTGGCGCCATCCTTCTAATCCGTCGTGGAGTGGTGAACTCGACCGGCCCTCGCACCCTGAGAGACGGTCACGGTGCCGGTCGAAGTCGCCGGCCGACCATCGGAAACGCCCCGAGTTGGGTCCCATGGAGGCCTCTGGTTGGCTGCCGCGAAGGCTGGAAAGAAGAGGAATGGAACATGTAGCAACAAGTTGCGATTTGTACCCAAGCAGCAACACTGACAGGTTATGGTGGCTGTGGTTGAAATATTCTTTTGATTGCGGTGATTGAACTGAGTGGCATTCTGGTCCGAAGCCGTGCACCAGCTGCGCGAGTTCTGGTCGCGTACGCCCACTGAACGGCTCCAGGCCAGAACCGGCGGAGCCCCAGCGAACGCAGGTGCAGGCGCAACCCGCGGTGCACCCAAGCGAGACTCTGAGTCCAAGACTCTGCGGAGTGGACGTCGCCACGAAGGGGGAGAAGGGAAGGTGAATTTAGGATGAGAAGACCGCACCCACAAGGGTTGAAGGGTGGAATTGGTGCTTCTGGATGGTAAGCGCTGACCAGTTGTACTATATCTTGCACCCAACCTCACAGTTGTACTGTTGGCAATTCGACTTTGTGGCGACTTTTTCAATTCGTGTCGGTCAGGTTTGAGAGGGGATGAATCTGGCGCTTCGTGCATCCGCGGGGGAAGGTTCTGCATATTCATGCTTATTATGTCTCATAGTGACCAATGCCTGGTAAGGATAAGTAGAATCGATGCACTACCTCATGGAAAACCAGCCATTCAGAATTCATAAGCCAGTTGTTGAAACGAGGCATAGCATGGCGCCGTGGCTGTGACTGAGACATATGGCATACTGTAACTGACTGCTATATATATTTGGAACCACGGTTGGGAACCAACCAGAAAGGAGAACTCCTGTCCTCAACCCTACGGCGCCCCTTTTCTATGCTCCATGCCTCGAGCAGATAGGTTGCCTGTATACGACGAATGGTGATACACTGCTTTCACACTCCATCAACTCTCTACAAAATGCAAAATTCGAACGTCCACAACGAATCTGCTGGTGCATAACTTCTGGAATGGCAGTGTCCTGACATCTCTTCGAACCTCACTTGCGCTCTCGCTTCTCTGTCGACCCTGCAAAAGTGGCTGCTGGATCTGAGCTCCGATTGATGCTCTCGGAGAAATGCGCTCCAGGTATGCCGCTAGGTCACCGAATCGGCCATCTCGATGGAGTCCATGGCCTTGTACCCAAGTCAGGTACTTGTGGTGATCCTTCTGGGCCACGAGCTCTTGGTAACTCAAGCACAAGGCACTCACCTTCGGGAGGCGGCACACCGTCGTTCCCCAGTCCTCAGTGCTTGACACGCCAGTCGGCAATGGGATCTTGAGATTCTCACCCTTCTTTTCTGGCTTGAGAGGGACTTGCTTGGAGGTGCTTCCGGCTTCCAGCCGTTCCTTTTCCAACGACCCATCCTCTGACGTGTAGGTCACTGGCTCCCAAGCTTCATCGAGTTCGATGTCATATCCATCCCTGAGGCGCTTCGAACTGTCGTTCATAGCCCCGTATCCAGCGGTCATCTCTGGATCCTTGACTCCTGCCTTGGAGGCTCGTGCAACAATGTCTTGTGCCATAGCGAGCTCCTTGGATGTCACTGGCTTTGAGGAGGAAGCCATATCGAACGAAAAACGACACGGCACGGAATGCACTGGAGCGAGAAGCGACTCTTGAGATCTCGCAAGACGGCCAATCGTCGTCGGTGCAACTCAAAGCAAGGAATTCTTTCAATCACAGGCATAAAAATGGGCATGTTCAACTGTACATTCACAAATCATCAACTGTACATGAATCTTCACTCTGAGGCGACCGAAAACAACTCTTCACTGTAGCAATGCAGTATCCCTATACTCACTTACAATGCTTGAGACTTCCAGTCTAAGAGCAAGAAAAACTTAAAAGGGCATTAACGAAAAACTGCAAGGTCTCACGTGGAACCTTTGTTGTGGGCTTTGGCTCTTTGGTGTGCAACTTGTCGTCTTCTTTCCCGTTCTTCCCTTTTCCTGTCGAGAACTGTCTGCTCGTCAGCCAGCTGGTATCTAGCTGACCGAAGGACGGAACGGAGCAAGTCCATCGGTTCGGCCTTGTCCTTGGTGAGTCCGTCTGCTATCATGTGGCCAGTTGGGACCCAACGAGCCTCTAGACCTGTGCGCCTGATCGATTGCCGAATGATTGCTACATCGATGGCTGTTCGTCGGTCATCCAAAGTTCCCCCGGAACCTAATGAAAGCAAATGGTCAAACAGCGAGCGACAGTTGGTCATTCCTATGGGTTTTCTTCTCAACAGAACTTCTTCAGCATCTTCTAGAAGGAACGGTCCGTCTAAACACTCGGCTGTCATCAAAGCAATCCACTCGCACACTCCAGCGGCCGTCGAGTAGGCCTGAGCCTCACCTCCTAAAGTGGAGGCTACAACACGTGGAAGGCGATAGGACTTCCAGGAGAAACAATGCACTGGCACATCTGCACCCTGCCTCATCTGATTCGAAGTAAAGCCTATCATCCAACCCCCCTGGGTTTTGAGTTCTTCGGTGTTTGCGAAAGCAGCATCTGACCAAAAGCAGATGGTGAGTTCTTCTGGTGGAATGAACGGCACTCGAATCCTGAGGTCAGATTGTTGTCGTGCCCTGCGAACTGCCTGATTGGCTTGGAGAAGATAAAAAATCGTTGGTTTGGGGAAGCACTGCTGACTTTGCGATGTCTGAACTGCAATGTCAGGTCTTGTTTGAGTGCTCAACCAACTCAAGGCACCATTCACTGCTCTCAGCGCTGACACTTCTTGGGGGTTTGCTGGCAACCAAGAACGTTTGGCCCTTTCTTTACTTATCTTGATTGGTTGAATGTGTTCGGCATATTCCTTCTGACCAAAAGTGATCTCAAAACTTTGAGGATCTTGCTCATATATGGTGCCCAAAAACTCCCCGGTGCCTGAACGCCACTTTCGGAAAGGGAATCTCGATCGCAACTTCTCTATGGCAGTGGCATATGTTTTCCCCTCCCCTCCAGTGATAGTGTCATCAACATGCGCTCCTAACACCCCTTCAAGATGTCCGTCAGCTCCGAAACACAGATACAAGCAATTATCGAATTTGCTTCTTGTGAACCCGGATGCCAATGCCACTTTGTCGAACTCACAATACCACTCATGAGGAGCGTCGTTCGCTCCGTAGATGTTACCCAAGATCTGAACAAGGGAACCTGGTTCGACTCCGGGCACACCGCCTGGTGGCAGTTCTGCGTACACCGGATTCAGCATGGCCTTTTCTCGAACATCTGCCTCGAGGAATGCTCCT